AGCCTGCTCCTTTGGAGGTGTGTCCCCATCCCTCACAACTGGGACAAAATCAAAGTGGTCACAGGAAAGACTGAGCGTAGTCCACCTCAACGGAGCCTCTGTTAAGGGGTCTCTGCTACCTAAGTAAATGCTCTGATCACTGAGCTGTTGGGTAACTGGGGACTTTCCTCCAAGACAATTTATCCCCTCCTTTGTTTTTTTTCCAGCCAAAACTATTCAGCAAATTTGAAGCAAATAGTTTAGACATGACTGAACCACATTTTCCAGGGAATTAACTATTAAAATAAATAAATAAATTACCCAACTCTAACTACTGCCTCTTCTAAAATCCATGATGCTTCTTTTCCACATAAATTGAAACTTTTTTTTTATATTAGTATATGTAATTAAATGTAACAGTTTGACCCATCAACCCAGCCAGGGTAGTAAACTGGGGCTCTTTACACTGTTCTGGAGTGCACAAGCTGTTTTATAGCACTTACAACTAATGCTTATTTCTTCAGTTTACTCATATTTTCCTTTTTTTGCAGCCCCTTTCATCCTATCAGTTCCAACAGTTTATCACTGTAGGAGAGGGAACTCTTCTCTATTACATTTTCATGCTTTTCTAGTCAACTAATTTAAACTAACAGAAAAATAAAACACTTTTTGCAGTGAGCCTCGTGCTAACTTGTTGATAGTTTAAATAGATTATGCCATTCCACTAGATACAAGCTAAAATATTGGAAACAAATCAAATAAAAGGATATAACTAGATGTAGCTTTTAATAGTGTTAAAAGTATTCAACCAGATCCAGAGGGGTTGAAATTACATTATCATCAAGGTCCTTTGTAACCTAAACCATTCTGTGACTCCATGACTCTCTGATTTCTGATCTGCTCTCTTGGACCTTGTAGCAGTCCAAGCATTGTATCTCATCATTCCAACTGCCAGTGTCCAAATACTCTGATGCATCTGTTGCAGCATTTCTAAGGGCTATTGGTAGCCGTGTGCGATTTGCAGCCGGTCAGGAATGTGAAGTGGTGGTTTGCTTCAGCAGCCGTGGAAGGATGGTTGTAGACATCCCTCTAGTGGCCCCGCAGCGTCCGGGACGCCGGGAGCAGCTCTGGCATCCCCGGCCTCAGCAGGGGCAGATGTGCTCCTCTGTGCAGCTGGATCCTCTGCGGGGATGGGGAACTGGCAGAAAATGTCTCCCTTTTTCCATTTCACCAAAGTTTCCCTGCAAACTCTGCACCAGTTCAGGGTGTTTTGAGTGTTTGTTTCACACAAGCCTTGATACTTGAAGGCTGAACCCATTTCACTGGCCACTGTAAAAATTAGAAGTACTGGGAAAATTAGATGTATGAGAAAAGGGTAATCCTGTCTCTAAGTTTTTTTAAATGTCAGTTTATTTAACCCAGAGCGAGGAAAAACTTTGTCATCATTGAAAAAAAAAAAAAGGCAAGTTATTCTTGAAGATTAATTAAATCTTGTCTCTTTAATACAAGATAGAATACCAAAGGGGGAAAAAAATCCCCCAAAAACCCCTGAAGTATATGTAAAATAAACATAAGGAACACTTATTTGTACATCTATGCACTTCGGCTTCTCAACTGAAATTGTCAATAAGATGCTAATTATGTTTATGTGTTTGGAACATTGAATTTATTTTGCTTTTTAATTTGTTAAAGGACATGCATGTTAAAGGACATGCAGGAGAAATGAGAGCCCTGGGATAGCATCTTTAAAGATAGTGAAGAGGCCTCCAGTACTGCCTTCGGAAAGGATGCTGTCCCAGGGCACTCACTGTGGTTCCTTCATGGAGCACAGCAAGTCTGGGGATTGCCCTTGCTGGTGCTGGACAAGCATCCTATGGACGGTCCCGAGGAAGCTGGCACACTCTGAGGAGTCACTGCAGAGCAGAACTGATTAGAGTTTGTAAAGGAGATCAAGACAGTCCCCTCTTTTTGAAAATGGGCACAGAGGAATGATTTGTTCCAGAGGCAGCAAGCTGCCTGACAGCAGCAGGATGTGGTGTTGAAAGGAGATACGGGTTTATACATACATAAAACTGTCCTTAAAGGACAGCCCACACTGAGATTTTCTCTGCATGGAAACAGAAACTACAGATCTCATCCTTCTGATAATGGTAGTTCTGTATCTCAGTAATTCACCTATACTACCATATTACCATTGTGAATCCATTATTTTAAATAAGAATTACCTATACAAAAATATCATAGTGCAACAATTAAGTAAGTTGCACCTCGATTTTGTTAAACTGATTGGAAGCAATTGACTGAACACACACCACCATCCTGACCAGGTTTTGATTTCAAAGGTGGTAAAAAACTTTTTAAGTTGCATTAGGGAGATTTTTTTTTCCCCTTTAGCTCTGTATAATTTTCCCTCCAAATTATAAACCCTGCTTTGCAGACTTCCCTCCTTACCGCCCAAAAATAGCTCCATGTGTCAATTTAAGAGATGGACAATTGGCATAAAGTCAGCAGAGAGAGCATAAATGCCTGAGAAGTTTTTAGGTGACATCTATGTAAACGATTGCTGTTGTCTTGTTTTCATTTCCAGGCAACTGATCCTCAGAGACACATACATAGTAGAATACTGACAACAATATCTGGACAACCTTCCAATCCCTTCTTTTCAAGCAGTTTATACTTTCTCCATGTATAAAGGAACAGTATTTTACAGATTGGGAATAAAATATATCTTGATTGGAAGATACTTGTTTTAAAGAGTCTAATCATCATCTAATGTCATAAATTTAAGCCTTTTTGAAAAAGTAAGATTCCTAAGCTTCAACCTGCAGTAAATTTTAATAGTCTAGAATATTTCAGATCAGGAGAAACACATAATTAATCAATAAATACACATTAATCCACATTTGCCTCTTCTGCTGCTCAGTGGATGAGGATTGTCAATGTTTTTTGAGTCAAAACTATTAATCTCTGCATGGAGACTGTGTCAATTTTGGCAATTTGAAAGACTACCATTTGTTTCTATCCCTTTATACAGTTCTTTAAGATAAATCTGGAATTAAGTCTTTTTTTATCTCAAAAGACAGGCAATGCTAATGTTTTCACAGTATTTTGCTTTTACTTTGCTTTATTTTAACCTCTAATCACAGGAAGAATAAACCCTCTATCTCTATATTTCCCTCATTAATATTCTCCCAGGATAGGATAATATTACATAATTTCAAATGTGCTTGTTTTCTTCAGCTGAATAAATACAGAAATCACCTCCAATAGCTTCTTGTCAGCCTGAAGACAACGTCGCACACATTGCTGGGCAGTTAAGGTTGAAGTTGTTTCTAAAACCAGGGAGATTTTTTTCGTGAGAAATTGTTTCTTAAGCAAAGTGTCACTGGCAACTGAACATTTCTTGGTAAAAAGGTTCTTTGACAATCTGTGGGGAGCAGCATTATCAAGTATATCACAGTTCTCGCTCTTGACAGAATTCTGTGCAAGCTGCTTTAGTGTATAGGATGGAGGATATTGTCCTGTTTTTGTAGGTGTTTTAGGGACTGTGAAAACATCACAACTAACTTCTGGGAAGCTTGATTCGATCCTTGAATGCCCAGCTAGCAGTACAGTGTTTGGTATTGGCCACAGTGCACTGTGGTCCAGGAGAGCTCCAAGGGTCTCATTAGGCTGGTGTTTATAGGGTCACAAGAGAGTTGGCTTTAGTCACAGTAATTTTCCATCCTTACCACAATTCAGGTCAGTAACTTTCTTTGAACATTTGATAACAAAAATTTTATTCCACTTAAGTTGTTGTTCAGGCAGCTAAAATAAGTTTCCAAGGCTGTTCATTAAAACAGCAAAAGTTAGACAGCAGAAGTTCCTGGGAGAAGTGTTTCTGGTAAGCTCAAGAGAAGCTCAACCAGCTGCTGTTTGTCAAGGCTGAGGCCTAATGAGCATTTCTGAGATCACAGTGTGGCTGAGGTGGGGGGAATGCACCCCCAGAGTGGCCTAAGAGAAGTCAATAAAAGAGTTGCGATGTGCTGAGCTTGGATCTTTAAATTTGCTGTTACAGCTTCTAGCATTGTCTTCTATAACCCCATCCCTTAGTCTAGAGTCAACTGGAAACACCACCTCATTCATGGATCACATGGTGAGGAGCTCCCATCAGCCCACCTCCACATGGTGGGTGTCTGGAGAGCGCAGCTCCAGGCCCTCAGATCACCCACGGTCTGCCTGCAGGGGTGGCAGGGAAGGAAGGAACCAGGGGAACACATGGACAGAACCAGGCTGCCCTTTCTCTGCAAACATCATTAAATTTCCTTGGAAACGCAGATCATGCTTTTGACAAACAAGTATCCAAGTCCCTCAGTAAACATCTACAAACAGTGAGAAGTTTTGTCTAGATTTATATAACCTACACAACCAAGTGTAGTTTATATTTTAGCCTCAATGCACTTCCCACAAGTCACTCCAAGCAGATCAGAAGTGGAACCAAAAATAGCAGATTCATGTTCCTGATAAACCCTTCAGCAGTTACTGAGGTCCCACAGGGTGCCGGGGCCAGCCCATGCCAGGATCATGAAACACAAGGGTTCAGAGCTTGCAGCCAGCCCCTGGGTTGCTGCGGGGAGCAGCTCATGGCCTGGCCAGCAAGTGAACCTCACCACTGACAAGGACAAGCTGAAGTGACTTTTGACATCAGTGTTTAATTATGCTTATAAATGAGACTCTTCACACCCACCAAGATTATTCAAAATGAAGAAAATTACTGACTTTCAAATGCTTTCCAACAGACAATAATTTGAAGAAATCTCTCTTCTTTAAAAATCCCATTATTTAAAACTGTAGTTCACATCAGAAAACTCTGACAAGTGACTTCCCACACCAAGTAAGGGCTGAACTGGCAATCTGCAGTGCTTTTTCCAGTAAAAATCAGCAAAACCAGGAATTCAGTAATTATGGGTCCTGGCTGTCACTACTGCTGATTGATGCATTTAGACGCTTAGCCATTCTTATTAAAGGGAAGGCAGAAAGAGTACTTGAAACTTTTAATTTATTAGAGTCCTCAAATAGCCAAGAGCGCTTCTTACACATAAAAATGTACTGAAGATGGACAGATACAGGCTCAGCAAAAATAATAATCTCTCAGAAAAAAAATCAGGCATTACTATACAAATTCAGAGTAAGGTCTTGTCACATTTACAAGTGAGCTTGTAACTTGTGTGTAAGTTCAGCATCATTCAGAAATTTTTCAAGTCCAAGTTGCATCTTTTCAGCTAGTTAGTGCACTGAGCTTATACAGTACATTGTTTTCCAGCACCACCAATGGGTAATACTGCACATAACCAAGTAGCAAAAGCAGTGGTTTAATCTTCAAAAGTCCATTTGTTCCACTTAAGGTGCACTATTAAAACAACTGATGTATTTAATAAAAGAGTAACAGTATAATTGTCATATTACAGCTTCTTCCATTTCACTGTGACAGTTGTGTGGCTAAAACCATTAATTATACTGCTAGAAAACCTGTACAAATGACTGAGGAAAAACAATCACTAGAGATTTGTTCAAAAGGAAAAATCCTAATGTTTCATGTAAATAGATTGTTATGCTGTTGAAGACACACTTCCTTAACATTTTTAAGATGGTTATTCTGTAAAAACGTACTTCCTTACTCTATAGATAAGGTAGGTAATGGCTAAGAGTTAGAGGGGCGGTTTAGATTAAATATTAGGAAGAAATTCTTTATTATGCGGGTGGAGAGGCACTGGAACAGGTTGTCAAGAGAAGCTGTGGATGCCTTATCATCTCTGGAAGTGTTCAAGGCCAGGTTGGGTGGGGCTTTGAGCAACCAGGATGAGAAGAAATGGCCTCAAGCTGCATCAGGGAGATTCAGGTTGGATGTCAGGAAGAATTTCTTCACTGAAAGAGCTGTGAAGCAGTGGAACAGCCTGATCAGGGAGGTGGTGGAGTCACAATCCCTGGCAGAGTTCAAGGAATGACGGATGTGACACTCAGTGCTATGGACTACTTGACATTGTGGTGTTTGGTCTAAGGTTGGAGTTGATGGTCTTGGAGGTCTTTCCAACTTAAAGAATTCTGTGATGTAGGGGAAGCTGTCCATGCCCAAAGCAGTGGTGTTGGAATTATGTGATCTTCAAGGTCCCTTCCAACCCTAACCATTCTAGGATTTTGTGATCATGTAACAAAAACCCACCCCAACATACAGCATTCAGAATTAGTTGTTAGTGTTGGAATTGTTTACACGTTTTATGGCAAACATTGTCCTGAGTTGTTGACCTAGTGTAGGGAGGAATCAATGCTTCTTCTCAGCCCAGACCCCCCCACCCACCAAAACAGAACAGTGATGTAAAACATCAAATAGAGTTTGCCATCTGAACAGAAACCAGTCACTGAAGGAAAAGGACAATTTTCCTGTGCAAAAAAAAAAAAAAGCTTTCTTAGTTTTAATCCTCACTCCCAGCTTCACTGGAGGAGCACCTTCCTCATTTCTTCCATGTTCTATGTATTAACTGTGCTGTCACTCTGCTTTTATTTATTATTACTACAGCTCAGCCTGTAGTTTGAAATTCATAGACAGAAAAATAGTATCGTGTACTGAAGTCCTGTATTCTGGAGCTAGAAGTTGATAGGACATACATAAAGATTCAAGATTACTTTCTGGCACAGGCTTGCACTTGGGTGTTTTTTCCCTAATTTGCACAGTATCATACTATGCATTTTGCAGAATTAGGGAACCTTGTGGAAAACTGAATTAACTCTCAATCTGTATTTAGGTATATTTATGCTCAGTGTCACCTGTGCCACCTTATTTGTATTGTAGAACATAGGGTATTTCATTTCACCACACCTGTCTGAAATAGCTGTAGAGTTGCTGACTAGAACATGCAGGGGTTAATAAGCTTTGATGTGCTCACTTGTGAGTAGATGTTTAGTTGTCAATACTGCATGATCCAAGGATTTGGACTTCCCATCTAAAACCAAACTGACCAACTCACCTCACCCCTAGAGAAACCATATTAGGATAAAGTGAGCCCATGCACAGCATTTGTACAGTGGAAGTTCACTCCCTCAGAAAATCCAGTACACAAATTCAACAGCTTTGTTTTATGGATACGAAAGATGGATAATACAGACAGAGTCCTAAAGTATTTTACATATTTTTGCAAGCTGAGCCACAAAGACATCATGATACTTGGCTAAGGCTCTGCTGTATGTAAACTCCAGAAACTGGAAGGGACCAATTAAGTAGTTATCGATCATTCTTCTGAAAATTGCTACAGTACTGTGGCATCACAAGATCCAGATCTAAGTGTTATCTAACAGCACCACGTAAAACAAATTTAAAATTTTCACATATTTTAAATGTTTGTAGTTACTCAGTGAATTGCAGCAAAGGCAACCCATTAGACTATTTAATATTTTTGTAAGCTTCATGTTTCATTAGACTATTTAATATTTTTGTAAGCTTATTTTATTTCTTTGCTGTACAGAGGCAAAAATGCAAACCATCTCAATAAATGTACATCAGTAACTACCTAGAAATGATACAAGTATTTACACAAAGCCCAATTATTTCACTTCAGTGTTGATACCATAGTTCATGTAGAGCTGGATGCAACGAGTGCCTACACAGTGTAAGGCATAACTCTCAGGATATTTACATCTTGTTCTTTATAGCAAAGGCTTCCAATACACCAGGAATTCCTTGTTACATTTGTATTTGACAATCCTGCTTAGTAGTGCTGCCTCAGAACTGAAAAGTGCATTTCTGCATTTTATACATTCTCACACAGATTGTGGACCGTTCCAGAAATTGTTCTCCGACCTTAATTTTTGGAAGTAATTGATTATCTATGTTTTCTGTCAATTAAAATTGTAAGGTAAAAAATTGTTTTCCCAAAGCTCTGTAGGTCATATGCAATTAAGAAAACAAAGCTCCTAAACGCAACTCCAGAAACTGTTCTCTTTTGACTTGGGAAGATAAGCAATCCTGTGAAAGCACTCAACCAATCCACTGGTGGTTATTTAAAACACTTTGGAACATTTCAGGTTACGAAGTCTGCAGATCCAAGCAGTTTGGAAAAGCCCTATAACACAGATAAATACATTCTATATTAGATTTTTTGTGCTGTAATTAATCTGGCATCTCAGATGGTTTTTTCTCTTCCATCGGAGATCTCACTTTAAAAGGAAAATAAAAAAGGAATATGATTACTCTCATTGTAGAAAATACAATTTTGAGTTATTCCACAAGTGAAATAAAATAAAAAAATGCCTGGGATGAAAAAGCCAACTCTTCCCTTCACCTATAAAGCAGCACTTCTAAAGATAATTTCTTTCTTTGTGTTCTGAGCTACTGCAACTCCTACCACATTTATTTTTAAGTCACAACATCCTGCAGCACTAGGGTTCTTCGGAATCTCTATTCCATCCAGTCTTGTTTTAGAAGATTAAAATACTACGTCCCCTCTTCTGTCTGCCCTCCCTTAGGACAGGAATGAGCAGTAGCATAGTCTTGTTTAAAACAGCATCACAACTCTCATGGCAACAATCTGAGCTGAGCAGGACTCTGTAGTGCAGCAGCTGAGAGCTGACACGTGGAGCTGAGAGCTCCATCCACGGAGCGCAGCTCCGACAGGAAACCAGCAAAGAGCAAAGGAAGGAAAAGGCCAGGGAACAAGAGTGCCTTGCTCTGTGTGCACGTGCCTGACTCTCTGACCTCCTGTTGCTGTGAGGTAACACAACAGCACAGACTTCTGTTCCAGGCGTTTCCTATACTCCCACACATCTTGGCCCGCAATCTATGCTCCAAAAATTACACTTGTTCAACAGTACAGCTTACAACTTTATCAGAATGATATGTTAATCTTAAACAAACAAACAACAAAAAAAACCAAACACGTGGATAAAAATGTAAAAGGAGGCTGTTACCTTCATCAGGATAAAATGATGTCTCAGTTTCCCTAGCTATGGACAGTATCCATATCTTCACAAGTTTTAGCACCCGGATTCTCTTTTTCCACCTCACACAGATACACGTCAATAGGTCCTTTTGTGCTCTTCACATGTACTTCTATGTGATCCTATAAAACAGCAACTTGTATATAATTCAAAGAATAAATCTTATACATTCTTTATCTATTTTTGCATGTATTTTAAAGACAATAGACTAAGAAGAAATACAGAAATGATGTAACTATTTAAAATTGTGTTATTGCTTCCACATAAATTATGACTATTACATACATTTGTAGGACAACTATTATGGAGAATTAAGCTAACAAGCTTTCATTTTTGATGAACGTGCATTTAAGTATTTGTTTAGTCTTTCTATTGACCTTCAGATATACGACCAAGACTTAATTATATGTTTAGGAATAGTAACAAAATTTAAAAACTTGACAAAACAGTGCCATGAAGCAGACAACAAACTGGACACATAGCTTTAACAAAATAGTAAAGCAACTAATCCTTATCACTTCTACTGCTTTCCTTCCACAGACATCACGCTGCATGACACAGAGCAAATAAATCAATGCACAATGGAGAAAATATTCAGTTCTAATGTACAACTTTTTAAATTCTGCCTTTTTATTGCTTCAGGAGGTGTCTGGAATTGTATCTTTTTCATCTCCACTGGATAAGAGACAGCTCCTTTGACCAGGGAAACTACTGGAGATCTATGTAGAGGATCCAACTCTTTTGCTTCTACTGATTCATTTCCTTTTCCTAAGATATCCCCACAACAAGGCAACTTCACTGACTATGCACCTGGGAAGATTATCAAAAATGCTCATGCAAAAAAGAAAATGGAATTAAACTTCTGTTTGCTATCCTAGGCTGTCTTCCAGGATTTGCCCTCTCAGAGCACTGCCAACAGTGGGTTCCCAGTACACAGCCCCCACTATGCAGTAGCAGCACTGCTGGGTGCAGGGGGCAAAGGTCTGGCTCCTCTGTGAGACCAGAATGGAGCCTGTGTATTGCACCGTGGGGTGAGGACAGGGCACACTCCATGAAAAATCCTTCTAGATATGATCTACCAAGGGACAAAAGGTTTTGTTTTTCCAACCATACTGTACATTGCATACTTTATTACAGCTTTTCCATTCTCTCTAACAAAACCAAGTAACTAAAGCTCAGATACATTTATGGCTTAGTAATTTAGGCAAAAAGAAAAATACATCAAGTAAGCTTCCACGACTATTATCCCTGCAGCACTGTTCAGTGGAACACAAGAACATTTAACTACCACTATCTGCACGACAGAGAAACTGGAAGTCAATTACTGACTGCTGCTGCAAAAAATCAGATCTAAAAACTTTTGTTACTTTCAGAGAAATGTATAAAACTTACATCTTTAGGAACTGGTATTTCCAATTTTGTTTCCTCTGGAGCTTTGATTGCAATCACAATCTGTTCCTGAAATGCCTGAATGCTTCGGATATCTTGGTATGTCACATAAGCTAGTGTATACCTTGGTCAAGGATCATGTAAAGTAATTTGCTAATGGGCAGAAGCAAGAGTGTGATGTCAAGATATGCTGAGGCAGAATACCAACTTCAGAAAATTGATCAACAATTCAGCAGAGGTTAATATTAGCTTTGTAAAATGAAGTATCAGCTAATGGTAGAAAAATACTTTTCTGTATTTCCAGGAAGGAAGAAAAGCTTTTAAAAATATATTCAGAATTATAAAAAAAACCCAAACAGTCTCCACAGATATTGTCATAAGTCTACAAAGCAGAAGGAATACCATTTTTCAGGAATTACACTGTCTTCTAAAAGCATGTAAATAATCTCCTGAGACACTGTAAAACTATTTCCTTAACCAGTAAGATGTAAAGAATATGAGCACATTTCATTTGTGCACACACCTTAACATCTTGCCAAACAAGGGAGCTAAATAATATGTTAATGTAACCCAAAGCCAAAATTCAATCTTTATGCCATATATTAAAATGAATCTCTTTTCTATTGTCAAAACCCATCTGAAGATCAGAACTGCAACGGAATCTCTTTCAAGAGAGAAGAGTATTAGGACATAACCAACATACCATTATATCTCCTTGGTGACAGGCCACTGGGACTCCATTCTGAGTCCTCTTTGTCATCTCACTAAGCATCTTGAGCTCACTGGTAGGTCAAAACCTGCCCCTGAGACAACTCAAATGGAGAGAACAGGGTGATGGTCAGGGTACTAAGACTATTGCCCCACTTAATTCTTCTGCAGTGGAAAGGTCACACAAGCAGCACTCCTCTGAGGACAGGCTAGACTGTCCATGATACTGCAAAGCAAGGCACATGACTAACATTCTCAAATACAAAATAATCAAAAAGTCTGCTATTATAAAACTTATTATCAAGCAGTACTGCACACCTGTGGTATCAGCATACACTTCTTACTAGATATGTATGTGCAACCAAAACCATGTGTTAAAATAATGCAAGAGTTGAAAGGATATTTTGCATTTTCTTTGTCATCTGTTAGTTCAAATATCTGATGAGCACAATTCTTGATTAATTCATCCAGAGCTTCTTCCATGGCTGATAAGTCAGAAAGTTCATCTTTAAGGTTCTGCTGCGCTGGTGCTTTCCCAATAAGTTGGTCAAGACTGTTACCTCTAGAAGAATATGAAAACTGTCTAGCATGTTTGTATAAATAAAAGCGTGCTTATTAAACATCAAGTATACTAACAGCAAACAATAATAAAGTCTGGCATCCTTCATTCTGCTGAAATATGCTTCCATGTACTTCTGCACTTGATACTTGTTAACATATTAGGTAATTCACATAGCATAAGGAAGGATACAGAACTTAAAATATTAACTATGAGAAGTAACTTAATATGCTTAAGGATACTCTCGAAGTTATAAACATTACTCAACACTTTGGGATTTACTCTTTCAGAAACTAGAAGCCTCAAAGCCAACTCACATCCACTGGATATGATTCTTAGATCTTTTCTGAATCAAGTCAATGCCATCCAACACATTGGTGATGTCATACACTCTTCGTTTCCGTACTCCAAGTGTTGTTGCTACTTCATTTAAATCAAGGACACCGTCTGGAGCTTTTCTGAGAAGGGCCATAAATTTTCGTGTCAAAAGCACCAAGGATGCATCAAATCGAGGCCTTTTGATGTCCACAGTTTCTGTAAAGTTTTGGTAGAATATTTAGGGTAAGCTACTACATAAGCATGAAGTAAAAAAAGTGATAGTGATGAAGAACCAATGAAAGTAGAAGTCTGGAAGCACTGCAGTTTTTAATGCTTACATTGCAATGTCAGCCTATTAACTACACATACCTTCATTTGGTTGCAATGATTTTATCTAAATAGCAAGCATACATTTTTGTGCTTTCAACATTCATGACTCCACATGGCTAGTATGGATATTAACAACTGAGTAACTGTATGCTCTACAGGACATGGGATCAGATCACTGACCAAATACCAATGAAACCTTTGGTTCACTATAGACAGTGCTGAGATACTGCCAGAGAAACACAGCTCTATCTCTGCTGCATGACACTATTAAGAGTATTTTTTATCTTTTTGATCCAGTTTAACCAGCAGACCTTGCACATAAGCATTAGGCATGGTTCATAAGCTGGCTTGGCTTCAGGTCTGTTTCAGCCTGGACAGGACCAATCTGCTCTGGAACTGAAGAATTTAGTATGCAGACGAACTGTTTGCACTATCTGGTCTCAGGGCAAAAGAACTAGTCATTCCACTGTTTGATTTACTAATACCACAAAGATCTACAGCTACCCTGACACCCTGGTTTAAGAGATCCCTGTGCTATGTGTATTCATTACCACCATATTTGCAGAAACAGCAGAAATCCCTGATGAATAACTTGAGGTTGTTATTTATGTATGCAAAAAGCACAAAAAAGCACCTACTTCTGACTCAAAATGTCATGGTATGCACACACTCATTTGATGGCAGCCAATAAAAGATTGTCAAATTCATCTGTTACTTGTCTTTTCTCCTCTAAAGCAAACCAGGTATTTCATCTGATCAACCTCTGTCCCCAGCAATATTCCAGTCTAATGCTTCAAGAAAAGGTAAGTGTGTAAACAAAGTACCCTAGACAACACTTTTGCTTCAACCATCAGTATTTTTCCCAAGATGAATAAGATACCACCTTTACTCATAATGTATCACGCCCATTCCATGGCTGCAAGTTTGTGCACTCCTGAACATGAAGTGACAGGTTTAACAACTCAGTTTTGGACTGTTACTGTGAAAGGTGTGAAACAATTCAGCTGGTGAGAAAAGAAATTACAAAAAAAAAAAATCCCCAACACCCAGAAATTCACTCAAGTTTATTTCCACATTTATTAACAGCAGTTGAAACGCAACATTTGCCAGTATGTTGTTCCAGTTTACTCTAACTCACTTTTCCTGTGCACTCTTTTCTATATAGCAATGGGAAGGTATACTTGCAACACATCTGGAGAGAAATAATTATAAAGAATGTATTGCTTCCCATCTGTTATTTCAGTCAGTGTTCAGCATTTTTCCTGCTCTGCTGATATTAAATACAATTTTTCATTTGTCTACAGCATTGTATTCACATTATAAAAAGGCATGACATACTGCAAGATTTTCATGCATGACACAGAGCAACTTACTTTTCACAAGCTGTGTGTCCTTGTGCACATTCAGGTCGATCACTGGTGCCTGAGGAAATAAAAAGGGAAAAAAACATCTGTCATAAAATGCTATCTACAGGGGGAACTTCTTCAGAAGAAATCCTCAAATCTACTTTAGATGTTACAGCCATCACCGCTCTGACAATTCAGCAGCTATTACTATGAAGTGTCACTAGATAAAAGGAATACATGCTCTTTAATTCCTGCTAGAACTTTCAGCCCTTAATCTCAGTACAACTCACTGTTTTAAAAAACAGTAAACACCACTGAACTTGCTGATGCTCAGGCAAGCTAAAACCTCTCTTGCTTCTTCTCTTTCAATTCATGGCCATTTCCTTTCAGCTGCCCATCAAGTACAACTGTGAAATATCTGGTAACCTTTTGAAGTTCTTAACTTGCTTGCAAGTATGGAATGAAACTTGTCAGGGGAAGTTTGGGTTAGATATTAGGAAAATGGTTCTTCACTTAAAGGGTGGTTGGGTACTGGAACAGGCTCCCCAAGGAAGCAGTCACAGCACCAAGCCTGCCAGAGTTCAAGAAGCTCTTGGACAATGCTCTCAGGAACATGGTGTGACTCTTGGGATTGTCCTGTGCTGGCACAGGAGTTGGACTTGATGATCCTTATGGATCCTTTCCAACTCAGGATATGCTATGATTTTACTGAAGAGCTGCTGTGGCTTAACAAGTTCTCTCAGGAGTTTATTAACAGCTTTCCAGTACTAGTGGGCCTAAAACAGGAACAGTATTCCAAGGGCAATCTAACATATGCCAAGTAAAGAAAAAGAACCATTTCCCTCAATTTACTGTTCTCCTGCTAAGACAGCCTCATACACCTCAATGTCAGGACACAAGGCAGGTGCACATTTAGCCCATTGTCCATGAGGACCTCAACAGGGTGGTCCCCAGTCTGTACCACTGCAGAGTAAAGGCAAGGCTTTAACACTTTATTTTCATCTTCCTGGGTTTATGAGGTGTTAGATGACCCCTTCCTCCAGCCCATAAACCTCACATCCTCCACCTAACAACAGAACAGACCTGCCAGGCACCCACCAAAGCTGCTCTATCACTCCTCTCCACAAGTGGTCAGGGAAGAGATGTAACAAGAAGTTCATGAGTTGAGCTAAGGACCAGAAGAGATCACTTCCCGAATACCATCATGGGCAAAAGAGACTCAACTTGGGAATATTAATTAAATTTATTACCAACAAAATCAGAGCAGAATAATGAGAAATAAAACACATCTTAAGAAAACATCTTCTCCCCACCCCTCCCCAAGCTCTACCTCCTCCACACCAACAGCGCAGGGAGACAGGAATGGGGGTTATGTCAGTTCATCACATGTTGCTCCTGCTGCTGCTCAGGGTGGAGAGTCCTTCCTCTACTTCAGTGTGGAGTTCCCTCCCACAGAACAAAGCACCCCATTAACTTCTCCAGTATGAGTCCATCCCACAGCAACAGTTCACCTACTGCTTCAACGTCCATCACTTTTCCTCAGGGTGCAGCCCTTCAGGCACAGCCTGCTCCAGCATGGGTCAAGGGTCACAAGTTCTACCAGAAAGCCTGCTCCAGCATGGGCTCCACTCTCCATGGATCCACAGTCCCTGCTAGGAACCTGCTCCAGCATGGGCTTCCCACAAGTTCACAGCCTTCTTTCAGGCATCCACCTGCTCCAGCCTGGCTCTCCTCCATGGGCTGCAGGTGGATCTCTTCATCCCTATGGTCTCCATGGGCTGCAGCACAGGCTGCAGGGAGTCTCTGCTCTGGCACCCAGAGCATCTCCTCCTCCTGCTTCTCCACTCACCTTGCAGAGTTGTTCCTCTCACATATTCTCACTTCTCTCTCCTCTGGCTGTAATTACAACTGTAGAGTAACTTTTTTCCCCCTTCTTAAATATGTTATCAGAGAGGCACTACTACTACAGCTGATGAACTCTGCCTTGGCCAGTGACAGATCCCTCCTGGAGCTGCCTGGTATTAGCTCTGCGGGACATGGGGGAAACTTCTGGCAGCTTCTCACAGAAGCTTCTCACTGCAGCCTCCCACCTGCTATCAAAACCTGACCACAAAAACCCAATACAGGGTATACAAGCCCAAGGTTTCCTTTGTTTGGGGTCCTTGTTCCAGCTGTTGTACCAAGATTAAGTTATTTTAAGGATCCAAATGTCTGAGACTCTGCTGTAGGAAACCTAGGGTCAATCTGGTGAGGGCACCTTGTCTGTGTGAGTGTGGGGGTGCAGCTGCAAAGGGGCCTCGGTCCCAGCTCAGGTGGTGTGAGAGTGACTGACAAGAGTGGCTCTTCAATGGTCAGACAGGGAAATTTCTTCAATATTGTGACCTTTAACATTCCTTGCTTGTTTCAACACTACAACTTGGCCTTCCAATCATCATATCTGCATGTCCAGGCACTTTTTATCCTTGTTCTTATAGAAGTCTGTCCTGTTCTTTTTGCCATGAGTGTCATGATGAAACGTGTTTCTCCTTACTGATCTCAATCTCTTCAGCTCCTCCACTTCCAAATCTGCCTTCCCAAAAATCTCAACCTACTTCTTGCCAGAATAAGCTGGAATCCGGGTTCTGCACTTTACTACTAACCTTCCTTACTAGCAGGCTCAGGGTCTTGAATATCCCACTGTTAAGAAAACTTCCCAGTCTGACCATTCATGAGATTCCACATAAGTCTCATACTGTCACTGCTGGGACTGAAGCCCCTTCATGGTGGACTGCCTCAGTGAGCTATTGGGAGGCCCACTGGACTCCCTACACACCACATTGATGCAGCCAGGCCATGTTTCCTCACTGGCTCAACCCCAGGTTTCCCCCTGCAGAGTCTCAGACATGTCTCCATAAAGCAATTTATTCACGGTGCAGCAACAGAGAAACAGCCCAAGCTGGTACCTCCAAAGAGGGATGCAAAATGAAGGAACCTCTAAGTTTTTATACCCTCATAGTCTACTCAGGTAAATCTTGCTCTTCACCCTGAGTCCTCTGCTCCTGCTGTGTCTCCCCATGTGTCTCTCTTCATCCACCTTGGCAGTGCCACCATCTCTGTGCCGTTTTGTTACCCAAAGGGTTGGCAGTTCACGGCTTCTGTTGAGTCCCTCAGTTTCCACTCACCTGGTCAGTGCCACCTTCTTCCTGCCCTTTGTTATCCCAAGGTTTGGGCAGCTCTTGTCTAGGGATCCCACCCATCTGCTGCCTGCAAACCGAGCTACCTGCACAAGAAGTAATTCACACCCACCATTCCACGGCCATCGCAGGCAAGGCTGTTAATAATTACCTTATATTTGACCTCCCTGTTTATAAGAAGCTGATTCAGGAAAGTATCACCCATTGTAAACTCATGTATCTACAATCATCACTTCAATTACCCACCGAAAAACTTACATGAACTCTTTCTTGGTTTTAAGAAAATACTACTAAGTAACCTTTAGCCCAACTGACAAGATTAATTTAAGAAAAAAAGGTAATATATTTAAATATTAAGTATTTTACATTAAAATTATTTTTATATTAAAATTAAAACCATGCAACATCAGGATTAACTAAAAACCTGTAAATTTTTTTTAAAGTTTTACAAAATAGACTTTTTTGCCAACTATTTCATAGCATTGCTAAAGCTAATGGTGGCAGCTGCAGGTAAGATAATCACAGAATTTAAGAGGAGAAAACACATTGTAGTCCCCTTTTCTCATACTTAGTTACACCATATTTAGCTAGATTAAGAGGCTATAAGTAACACAGGCAAGAAAACCCATCCTTTTGCATTCTAGCACCTTTCCCGGGAAGCCCGCCCCAACGCCACGAGGGAGGGAAGCGCCCCAAGGCTCCCTTCGGGTACCACGCTGCCTGGCCCGCCGCATCTTTCCCGCCCAGAGATGTAGGACGGGCTTTCGGCCGCCTCCTCACAAGCTCCCGCAGCAGCTGCAGCGCCGTCCCGCCCTCTCCCATCCACAGGCAGCGCCTCCCGCCATGTACCTCACTCACACGCGGCGTGTCCGACTCCAGCGGCTTCAGGCGCTCCCACTTGTCGGGGCTGGCCATGTCCGCCCGGCCCCGCGGCGAGGCGCCGGAGGAGGGAGCGCGCACAGACGCCCTCACGCCGAGGCTCCGAGCCGCGGCCGGGCGCGGGGCGCCGCGGGGCCGCTCCCGCCCTCATCGCTGCCCGTCATGGCCGCGGCTCCCGCGCGCGCCCGAGGCGGCCGCTGGGGCGGGAACGGGAGGGAGCCGCGCACGCGCCCTCCCCTCTGCCGCCGGGGCACGCGCAGCGCCACCGCCTTCTCCCTCTGTTACCCATCGGCCCCCGCGGCGCCTTCCCGCCCTGCCCGGCTTCTCCCGGCTTCTCCCGCCCCGCGGGACAGCCCCCGCCTCTCCCACCGCCCGCAGGAATGCGCCGAATCAGCTCCTTTCCTTCCCTCCCGTCAGCCTGCCGGACCGGCGGGGGAAACGGTCCCATCGCCCTCGTCCTCGCCTTTGCGACAGCGGGAGCGCACTGAGCGCTGCAGCGGCTGGTGTGGGTTAAGGGAGGAGTCACAGAAAATGCTGAGTTCGAAGGGACCCGCATGGATCGTCGAGTCCAGCTCCTGGCTCTGCACAGGAACACCTCAAGAGTCACACCGTGTGCCTCAGAATGGTGTCCAAGTGTTTTTTGGGCTCGGGCAGGCTGGTGCTCTGACCACTCCCTGAGGAGCCTGTTCCAGTGCCCAAACACTGCTTCTCTGGGTGAAGAACCATGTTCTAACATCCAACCTAAACCTCCCCTGACACAACTTCAGGGCATTCCCTCAGGTCCTGTCCCTGGTCACTGAAGGGAAGTGTCAGCCCCTCCTGTTCCCCTCACAAGAAGTTGTAACTGCAGTGAGGCCTCCCGTCAGTCTCCTCCAGGCTGAACCAGCCCGGTGACCCCTCGTGTGACTTCCCTCAAGGACAGAGTCCTCACTGGTTACTGCGAGGAGGGAGATTTCTCTTTCCTCCAGGTAACAGCATGAGCTAGGAGAGGGCATTCTGGGTGAGCATTGCTTTGCAAGTATGTGTGAGAGTGATTAGTGTTGACTCCCTGCCAAATGACCTGTTTTTGTCAGTACTTGCTAGTAGGAGGCAGCCAAAGCTATGTGTGTTGCTCAAAGGGGAGGTGTGGATATAATGCCCATGTCAGGTGTAAGTTAATTACAAAAGGTTTATGAGTGAAGGGCCAGGTATATTCCTCTAGAACCAGACAAGAGCCATCAAATGTGGCATGTCCAGAATAATCCTGTACATTTACCTTGCAGCAACATCCTTTCCCAAGTCCCAGTTCCATTGTTCCTGCACTTTCCTCCATACTTCTGATAATGTTTTACAAGCACTGACGCCTTAACATGCGCCAACCTCAGCAGTAGTCTCATAATTTCCAATTGCTTACATAACTTCTGTTTGTCAGACAAAAACATTTCTTTAAAACACAGCTCCTTGTTAGGTAGCATTTGTTGTTTGATTGCTCTTTATGGCAATTAACTCTTCTACAGAATGTAAGTCTGTCATGGAGTTCTTTTGCTTTAAGAATTATGAACTATTTTGCTTCTCCCACCCACACTTCAGGTTAAATTTCTAGTCTTGATTTCATCAGACATGTAAAACTGCTAGTCTGGTGTGAGGAATTCAAAGCTGTGAAGATTCATATTCTAATATGTCAGACCAAACAAGTCAACTAACACTCTATTATCTTGAATAAATACTGTATTAATTTCATTTATTATGTGTTTCATAGCCCTTCCAGTTAGACATTTCTTTAGAGTAGCGGATGGTATCACCAATGATGTATCAGATGCCTCGATAGAGGATGGAGTTTTCTTCATAGCAACCAATTTTCAGTCAAGTACCTGCATGGTAATAATTTACCCTGTAGAGAAGTTTAGAACTAAGGTGAGTTGTTCTTGTGCTCTAATGAATCAACCAGAATAAAAGAGGGGAAAATATATAACAGCTTCTCAAAGGCAAAATGTCTGTGTTTCAGGAGATTTGGAGTTGTGTATTTAGTGACGTCATGCAAATGCTTGTTGTCAGTATTGTAAGGCAAGGTTAGACTGTTGCAGGTGCAGGTTTTCCTATCATGGAAGGGACACATGATTACACCAAAATGTAAAAATGCTCATTTTTGTTTGTGCAACGTAACCTAATTGCTAACTTCTCTGTGGTGATGAGCGTAGTTCCACGAAGAATGAATATTTCTCACTCCTTTTTGTATTCTGGAAGATGTATTTTAGCATTGCAGTTACAGATTGTATAAAGCCACTGCGATAAAGCAGGATTTTTCCACCTGGAACAGCAGAACAGTTTGGAGTAGATGTTTAGGGCCATGTTAGTTTGAGGTGATGTGAGGAATGTGCCAAGCAGTATTAAAGTCATTGAATAGGAATTGGTGGCTGTTGGCTGGTCAGATATTAGGAGACTGTTAACAACTCATAATTTGAGGATTAGGATACATGAATTCCTGTATTAACCCATGTGGAAAACATTGCATCAACATTTAACTATGCTGTTGTTCTAGCCAGTCATAAGATAAAATCCTGTTGTTCCTGTGCTTCTCTGTCCTTGCCTGCTGACATTATCTCATGGACTGAAGAAGAGCCCCACAGGGATTCAGATTCAGGAAGTGTTGTCTTTATTTATATGAAAATTAAAAAGACTTATTATTCTTTTAACTGAAAATTAGATGTTGAAGTAATTCACTTGACTATCAGGAATTTTTGCTGTGGTGTTCTGCTGATAAAGAGTTTATTCTAGTATGTTATTATTTACATTTTACAAAGCTGATAATTAATCACACATTGTTTATTAGAATCATCTTGTAGATGAAAATGTAAATTATAACCCATTTACCGTTATCTTAATGCATATTAAAATTACTGTATTCATTCAACACCTCCAGACATTAATTGTACAAAACATTATTCTTAAAATAAAAGATTTGATTATTTATCTGTAACCTGTTTCTTTTTCATTACATTGATTCTTAATGTGCCACCAGGGGGCAATAATTCCTTTCCTAAATCTGATCTTTTCCCATCAAAACCTGCCAGAATAGTGGATTCACTAATATTTTTAAATGACTGTATGTGAAAGGCAAAACATAAGTTTCTTAAAAATGCTTCTTTAGTTACTCATGTAATATAATATTTTACCATGCACTACTTAGCCATGTAGGTTTTATTTTGAGCAGCTGAAATTTTACTGTTTTGTAAAAGTTTTTACTTTTCATTCAGCACTAAAATAATGGATGGTTTGTATTTCATGCAGTATGGGATTTTTTTGGTGGTTTTTATATTGCCATTGTAATAGTCAAAATTTGTTTTACTCATATTATTTTCCCATTCTTTTACTTTTTGCTGCACTAATGTACTATTAATATTTATTAGCCTATATATGTGATCCTGAAATTGGAAAAAAACATCCAATAAAAAGTACCTTGTATCCTTATATGATTTTTTTTCTTTCTTTATGTACATAGTGGTTACAGCATTCTGCAAGTAAAGCCAAGGCTGCCTTCTGTAAAACTCCAGAGCTCTGTATCAAATGCAATCTTTCCTTTCAAGACAATAATCTTGTAAGTGGATCTTACATTAGGTGCACATGTGTTGCTGAAAAGATGAGCCAGAGGAAATATATTTCTGCAAACGTGCAAAAGTAAAAATTCATGAAAGACAGCAATTCCTGTAAATATCTGTTTGAACTACATGGGGCTATAGAGTTATCAATTTTTTTTATATTAGTATGTCAGTCTGTAGAAGCTTCCAGGCCTCCCTAGGGTCCTCACCACTGCATAATCATTAGGCAAAAAGGTATACATCTTTATGCTGTAAAATGTAATGACTTAAATCTGTTTCTGGCAATAGCAGAATTTTTCTTCATGTGCTTAGCTTAATCTGCCTGAAAAGAATTCTTCCTGTACATGTGGCAAATAGGCATCCTTTAGTCTAAGAAGGCAGATCTCCTATTTCTTCACTTGAGTATGAGGAAGTTTGAGTCAGTTAATCAGATCAGGGCAGCACAGAGCTAAACTGCATTCATTTTTGTTATGTCCTGAATGACACTTAAAAGTCATGGATGTGGTATCACATTGGAGGCATAGGGTTTAGTTCATGATATAAACTGAAGCTCCTGCTTCTTCTACCTGTAATTCAGAAAAGAAATTATATAGATGGAAAAAGGACCCTTAAGGTGACATTAGGGTTGTGTAAATAGCAAGTACTTGCTGTATATGAACACTGGTGTCTTACTGAAAAAGTTCAGTGGATATTGTGTTCTTAGGAAGGTTTGGAAATTTGGCAGTAAGCCATCTGCCATTGTCTGGCAGAGCCTGGGGGTTTCTAGGCAAAGGTCTTTACAGAGCCTGCTGGATGTTTTCATCCATGCTAAGGAATTTATCAACAGAAGAAGATTCCTTCTGAAGAAGTTGCAAAAGGTCATTATTATATTTTTTGTTTGTACCTTTTCTGTGGCACAGGAGGTGCAAAATTCCCTGATGTATTTAATTTTGTCAACTTTAAATGTATGGAAAAGTTGAAGTATGTCCTCGTAAGGTGCTTGTCTTTATATAATGAGTGTAAAAGTATTCTTGAAGTTAGGTTTTTTGTTGTTGTTGTTTTGGGGTTTTTTGTGTGGTTTTGTTTTGTTTTGTTTGGGTTTTTGTTTTAATTTTGGGTTTTTGTTTGGGGTTTTTTGTGTTTTTTTGTTTGGTTGGTTGGTTTTAGTTTGGTTTTTTTTTTTTTTTTTTTTTTTTTTTTTTGGGGTTTTTAAATTTTTTTTTTTTTTTTTTTTTGTTTGTTTTTGTTTTGTTTGGGTTTTTTTTTTTTTTTTTGGTGGGATTTTAAAATTTTATTTTATTATTTAATTTTACCTTATAATGTGAAGAAGTGTTATACAGTACCTACATGAAACTCGAGTTACTTGCTGTTATATGTGCAGTGAGATTTAAGATTTAGCACATTCACTGATGGTGGGATTGTCAGGATGCATAAAAGTAATTCAATCCTAACGCATTGGCCACATCCATCCTTTCCTCCACCATCTCACTCTCTAAAAGCAGTGAGAACCTGATATGGATGAGAAATGCTGGGGCACCTGTTTGTGCTGAGGGAAGGTGTAGGTGAAAGAGATTCTGGGAAAGTGGGTTACCTACCACTGGGAGGCAAGTTGTAGACTGCTGCTGGAAAAACAGAAACCACTGGAAAAACTCAGGTACTTGTTTCCATTTTCGAGGTATCTGCATTC